TAAAAAGATCCTTCAGGCAATGTTGAAGTAAAAGCACATTAGTCCAACTTTCTGAACAATGTTATTTGGGCAGAATTCGTACTATTTTGAGAGAAAAAAAACTTGAAATAGGTTATAATTTTTGGGGGATGGTTACACAGACAATGTCACTTTTATAAAAAAAAAAAAAAAAAAAGATAAACATAAAACAAAATGGTAGCTTTCCCGGAGGTCTATCAGTTCAACTACATTCAAAATATTGGTATGTTGGGTCTGAAAAAAAAAAAACAAAAAAAAAAAAAAAAAAAAAAAACGCAGGCATAATTGGCCATTGCAGTCACATATTTGCTTTTTTGTACACAATTTCTTTTTTTCAAAAGATAATTTTAGTGAATTCCCTTTAACCAACATATACATTTAGGAGCCGGCAAAATTGTCAGTGTCGAACAGCTGGAATATCATTGTCTGCTGAGTTGTGGAGCCAAAATATAACTCACAGTCTACAGAAATAAAACTACACAAAATCTGGCGACAAGAACTGACATAGAATGTCCAGATGGAGCAGGGTTACATTAGAATTACAATCAAGAACTTCAAAAGAGATGTCAGTTCTCAACACTAATGATACAAAGTGATGCAAGACAAAAATGGGAACATATGTTACAGTTGGCAGGGTTTTGAGTTACCAGCTGTCCCTAACAAACTAAATTTCTAAATCCTTTCAATGTATTAACACACTTATATTGCTGTAAGTCTGTGAATTTAAAAGTAAGGGTGATGATTTTCTTCTTTTACTTCAGTGCCAAAATCATAAATCTTGTAGAAAAGTTACATTTCTTTAAATGATTGAGGTAAGAACTGAAGCATTTGCTTCTAACTTGGCTAAATATTCAAATTAATACCAAAAGAAGTACATACAAAAACTTCAAAGACCCTTCATCGACACGGTGGATGATTAATACAAAGAGAACAATAAATTTAAAATAATGCTTTCCTTTACAGGAAACTTGATGTGTATCAGAAGAAAATTCAAAGCATTTGTCTCCTGAATTCGGAATTTCAAAATATTTTTAATATCAACCGTATGAAGAGGATATTTTTTTAATCGTAAACATGTCAAGAGTCATTTTGATCAATGACCTTCACGACTTAAGCTCTTAAATGTGGAAGTAATTAATATTATTAAATAGTGTTAATTATATTAATGTCGACATCCTGTTTGATCATTCTAATTGGCTAATACTTTATTGCATATTTGATTTGCGTGGCAGTTCTGTGAGGAAATTTATTTAAATCAGAGCTGAATTTAGAATTGAACGTGATTTTTAGTTCCCTGACCGTTGTTGTTTACAAGAATCAAAATGAAAAATTAATGGTTACTTTAAAATCCGCCATATAAAATATCATTTGACATTTTTCAGTGTACATTTTTTGTCTGTTCAACTTCGATATGTTTGTTTGTTTAACGTCCCTTTCGAGAATATTTCACTCGTAACGAAACGCCAACACTTACCAGTGGAGGGCTGCAAATGTTAGACCTATATTCGGCTCTCGGGTATTGAGAAGCGAGGAATCTTTTTCTGTGCCAGGACATACTGCGGAACGGAACCTCGTTTTATACGGTCTAATCCGAAGGATCGGTCTCCATGTTCCACAGTAGCATTCGAAGGATCAACTACTTACTCCGCGACTCTAGAACAAACTTTTGACCACTGCCCACGCAGGCGATTAACATCAATATGTATGATTTGTCAGTACACACGCATCAATGACACCATTTTAAAAAGACTATTATATTCAGTAAAACTTGGCCATAAAAAGTCAATGAGACTTTGAATTTTGTTTCCTTAAAACCGAGATTCCATATATTTGTATAAAGAACAAATGCGGGGCTTGTAAAAGATTCCTTAAAACAAAGGTCTCCTTATAAGCGAGTTGTTTTTAACCAACTTTTACCCTTATTTCTGTGTCAAAAACAAGGATTTCAAAAGGATCAATTGTACAGCCTATTTGGACATTTTAAAATACACAATGTTGCTAATAGTTAAGATACCTATCATATCGATAGTTTATTCGAAAGTTATCTTTATCAAAGTTTAACAATGTCTAACAGATCATTATGCGTTGATTTTTTTTTTTAAGAAATAAAACTATAGATCCCTTTTTAACATAATATACATAAACAAAATATCTGATATATTATAGTTTTACGTTCATGATCAATTGATTTTTTTTTTCATATACAGAATCATAGTCAGCCAAATGTATTGACCATCATTGCTTCGCCTTAAAATCTCCTTCGAAAGACTTGAACATCGCTTGCTGATGACACTAGTTTCGAAAAAAATTGTCATGAAATGCATATTATGATTTTATTTTCCCTTAATTATATAAAATATTCAGGTTACAATACTAAGTAAATTGATTAAATTGGTGATGATAGTTTTACTTTTATTGATTTAGAGTACGCTATCGTACACAGCATAACCTTCTACTTGCATCGAAATTCTGAGTTTAAAACAGCTGATTATATCTTTTAGTGCTAATATGTGTTTCATCGCTTTTGAAATGTATTCCCTAAAGGTAGTTAAAAGGAATTGTCTCTCTGGTTCCATATTTCATATTCAAACAAAATTACTTTTCTTCCTAAATTTTCTGCTACATCGGTTTGTTATATAATCATTTTCAATTCAGTAGATCATCAAAAGAATCAGAGACACCCTTTTAACCTCTAATACATTCATGTACATTATCACAAATGCTGTCAAAAATAATCAAATCATGTCAAAAAAAAAAAAAAAAAAAATTAAATTGTGGATTAAATTTTGATTGATTACAGAGTTTTACTCATTTTTTCCAAAAATTAAGTGGTCAAATCTTAGAGAAAAAAAGAAGGGTCCAGGCAAGAAAAAATGGCATGGACATGCATACAACAATATTTTCGAAAAAAAAGTATCAGCGTTTTAAAAAAAGACCTATAGTTATTATTAATTTATCACAATATTAACATAAGTAATCATAATTTCTTTTTATTTCCTGTTAATTTACTTATACAAAAAATGTTAAAATGTTATAGTCATTTTTATTTCATATGTTTTTGCTAGCCATGTCTGTTTAATTTTTGATTTTCGAGGCCGTAGGAAGTTTTTATAGATTATAAACAAGTTCACCAAAAAGGATTAGACCGAGAGTAATTAAATAAATTAACAGGTTTGAAAGAGATGTTTAATTATTTTATTTAAAAAAAAATATACGTTTTACATGAATAAATTGACAATCGCCTCAAAAGCCTCAATATTACTTTTATTTTACAAATTGTTATAATCATTTTCTGTGTTTATATGAAGAAATTGAAGTTCATTGTATTCTCTTTCACTGTGATCCTCGACATCAAAGCTTACCGCTCCTGTTTGAACCCCTTCTCTCATGAAATTATGTCTGGGAGTACAGAAGTAAATCTTCTTTTTTTCTTCCTGGGGCGCTTTATATCTTTTAAAGATAATACTGATGATAACGAAAACAGAATAAAGATGTTCTAGGAAAGTAATCACTGATATTTCTTAAAGTCATTACTTTACCTCCTTATGCAGTAGGCAAACACCAAACACACGTTGACTGACAAACTGATTGTCAACACTGCAACTGTTTCAGTTGATCCAAGAATTTTATGCCTGTTAAAGTCTCTCACTAAATATAGAAATTTTAGAAAACCAATTTTTGTCAGATTTCCCTCAAAGAGTTTTTGAATGTTTATCTTAAATATAAAAAAAACAAATTAGAAGAATTGAAGTAGTTAGACAAGAACAGATATGTGAAGCATTACTTTCCAAACAATCCATGCCTTGCCATCCCTGTTTACATCCATTCAAACAATGTCCAGTCATTCTGCTGCAATTTTGTGACGTAAAGCAAAACATACTGCATTCTTGTTGACAATTGGCTCCAAAGAAACCAAAATCACATACTGTAATAATAAGAATTATTATAATTATATTATTGAATAGTTCCGAGCCCTTGTTGGGGAAGACGCAACGTTGTAAAAATATACTTATTTATGTTCATCTTCTCGAGACTTTCCATTTTTTCACTGGATAAAAAATGGATCTAGAACTTCTCTCTCTCTCTCTCTCTCTCTCTCTCTCTCTCTCTCTCTCTATCTATCTATCTATCTATCTATCTATCTTTCCTTCTTATAATTCTCGTTCCAGAACAGCGTCAATTCTAAGACGTATCTCGCATGTGACCTAAAAAGATAGGTCCTGTGTCTTCATATGCATTTGCACGACAAAGAAGCATCACTGCTCCATAGTCCTAATTATAAGTGTTGAAAAAAGGTCTAAATTTGAATCCCCTAACTTATATTTTGTGACGTCTCAAAAGGACATAAAGCAACAAAATTCAGTCTATCAATCGTTCTTACTTTCCATCTATTGGTCTAACAATATACCTACCCTTGTGACAAGTTTTCCCTTCGTATCCGATCTTACATCCCCCTACACAGCTTCCGTCAATATTGCTGCATCCTTCAACGCACTCTCCGCAGTGTCTACTACAGTTTACACCATATCTCCCCAACACACACTCTTAGAGAATATAGAATAAAGTACTATGTAATAAAATAATACTTAGCTCACATTTCAGAAAGAAAGAAAGAGTACAAAATGTGTATGTCTTTTGGCATAGTATTTCATCCGTCTATTTTAAATATACAGAGTTCGGCAATGAATGCCGAATATTGAAAAAGCGCTTGTAGTAAATTTATTGTGAGTTGTTACTTTTTTTTTCTTTTTAAATTATTTTTGAAAACATTCATAAAAATTGTACCGGTTCTTAATCATATGATAAAAAAAAATCCTTGCAAAACGGCACACATATTATACATCCCTAATATAATGCCCATTTTAAATGTAAAGAACTATTTTAAGACAATGTATTAAAACCAACGTAGGGTTGTGCATTGGTTTATTTTTTACCTGAAATACCTTTGAAATCAAAGATTTACTTATAGTTGATTTAAATCGTTAGAAAATTAAACCTTCTTTACAGTTGATCCCATGATATCCTGGTTTACAACCGCTTGGACAGCGTCCATTAAAGTGGTTACAGTCTCCAAGACATTCCCCACATTGCTCAATACAGTTGAGTCCATAGCTTCCTGATACACATTCTAAATCATTCAAAACATAGGACATATTCCCTCTCGTTTAAGATAGTGACATACCGTATAACGGGTATTTTCTGCGGTTGTCCAATTTTTGCGGAATTTTGCGGATAGGAAAAATCCTCAAAAATTACAATCGCAAAATATTTTTTCAATATTTCTTCAGATATATATTTTATACATGCAAGTATGATAGGTGGTGCGTATGTCCTCGTTAGCGAGAAAATTTGTGTGTTATCGAAATTCGTAGATATAAGATATCAGGATTTTTCCAAAACATATTGAATTAAAACGTTGCTGTAAATATCAATTTGATAAGTTCATACAAAAACATTTTTTCTTGTACCCACTTCTTTATTTTATATGGATATGCATGTACATGTAAATGACTAAAAGAGATTTCGCAATTAATAGTCCAAACTCCGATAGCTGCAAACAACACATAGTAGCTTTTCTTTCTTTCTTTAACAACGCTTTTTTAATCTAGTGTTTTATCTGGAGACCATAATTACTGCTTGTATACACAAAGTGGCTTGATTGTCTCGTGAATTTCACACAATGCAGACGACTGATAGGATTAGTTACGCCTCAATGCACATGGCACCTGTGATTGTACACGGTCAACTTTAGGTTACTTGATTATGCAACTGTTTGTTTGAGCTTAAGGGGGAGAAGGACCTTTAGCTGAAAAAATACTTGTCATTCAATTTTTTTTATATTTTGTATATTTCTAATTAAGTATGTCCCACATATATTAAAGCAGTTATATCATTAGGTTTCTTACCTAATTTTAGAGATATTGATTGATAAATACTATGCCCTACAGTATCTCAGTGGAATTTTAATTCTTCATGTTTCCGGGCTTATTACTCTGTCCATAATGGGATTTTTAAAGCATATATAAAAAATATGTAAGTGAACATGTATCTTTTAAAATATTTCAGAGTATGAATAGGGTTTAAAATTCGAAAAAGCAAGTTTCTTCTATCAGACTGCATCTGGATAGGGAAAATTACGAACTTTTTAAGACAACTTGAACAAAGAAAAACGTAATTTACAAAAAATTCTTTCATTCAATATTTTTAAATTTACGTTGAAATGCAAGTCCTTCAAATCATTGATTAACTGTAAAAATTTCGAATGGTGAAGCTGACCTCAATATTGCATAGGACATCGTTAAAGACGACATATGCAGGACAAAAACTTGTCATGTTTACATTTCTCGAGTACGGGAAAAACCAACTATGACGTCACACGTAAGCTAAATAAGCGAAATAAGATATACCTACATCTGATTTCCGTCACCAGCCAGGCAAAAATAATTTTTCTGTTCCCCGTTTCTCAAAATATTTCTTCATATACTGATTATGAGCTGTTTTTACATAATAATACCGCTCCCTGTATTCACCGAATATGATCTTGCTGTACTAACGGATCGTGTATGACGTCACCGACTTGTTGGACGCGCAGTTTAGGGAAACAGAGGAGTGGATCAATCTTTTTTCATAATTTGTTAATGTTTACAAGAATGTTAAACTTTTCCTTTTTTTGTATAAGATGGTAATTAAAGAAAAAAAATTGTCAAAAATTTATACAAGAACTGATACCTTACACGTTTCGCACTTATATAAACGGAGACTATGACGTAGTTTAACAAAGTCATGTGACCATGTGTCCTTCATCCCCTTAAAATATAAACACCGGATTAATTTTGATGGCAATTAACTATAAGTGTATTTTTTAGAATATGGCTTGGATGCATTAATTATCTATATATTAAAATATTTTAATAGATCGCACAAAACGTTTGTTACAATGTAGAATAAAGATTTTTTATTGTTGTTTGGGTGGACCTATACTGCAATACTAGTAATTCATTTCAGTTGGGACTCGACATAATTTTACAAAGACTAACTGAAAGATAGTATTTTAAATTAAGCTTAATAGCTTAATACCAGTTCTCATGCAACTTTGTTCAATATGTCTCAATGAATTTATAAAACGTAAACATGGCAGCTATCTGATAATTCTTAGAGATTGGTGATCATACCCAGTAAATAATTTTTTGCGGTATAATGCAACCGCAGAAATTGAAAACGCAGAAATTAATTTGCTATCTTTTAGGGGTTAAATCGCAAACATTTCCAACTGCAGAAAATACCCGTTTTACGGTATACACTGTAATTTATTTGGATGAATAAATATCACCTGAGGTTTGCATAACGTTATATCATGCTGACCAAACAAACCAAAGTCTACTTTAAAGCATATTTTACAAAGTGTGTAGACTTATTTAAATGAGTATGACAAGAAATTTAAGCAGTTTCTTCCTCGTATATATGCTTGAAGTGTTATGAGAGGATTTAATTAAAATAGAGACAGGCAAAAATCATAAAATCATTACTGTAAGTTACTTTTTTAGTGTAACAGTATCCCAATATTTCGTAGATTTTAGTTCAATCATTGTATCAATGAACAGATATTGATTACCTGCTTTACACGTTAATCCTCTATACCCAGCTTTACATCCACCTGAACACGTCCCATGTACGTGATTGCATTCTCCAGCACAGTTGCCACAATATTCTAAACATCCATCGCCATATCTTCCTGGCTCACATTCTTAATTGCAACCAAAAGACTTAAATTATACTTCATATCTGACTAAAATACCTGAACATATGAATACTTTTTCAATATTAAATCACTTTTTAACATCATTCTCTGATCTACATGTAGGTACACAAATGCCATAAAGTATTATCTAGTAATTAGAGATATTTTATATGTATTATTTTTTCATGAAAAGTTCACTATAATATTTTGTCTCTGTGACTTGAACATTAGAGTGCTTTTAATAATTCCCCCAAATTCCGTCAAAAATAAATTCAAAGAATGATTTTGATATATTTAAAATCAATACTTTATATATTAATATAATCAAGTAATAAATCAATAAATAAATTAATAAAGACATTGTTTAAAAACCTTTACAATAGCCACTAAGAACTGTATACACTAGAATTTATGTTATGGGCGGAAAAGCTCATCCATCAAATCAAAATCTTGATAGATGTTTTATTAATTTCATTATATTATGCAGAGGTTTAGGTGAAAACAAAATGGAACCATATTTGGATGATTTTCAACCACATCTTTAGCCAGTTATGTTTCCAATGACATCGATCCCCCCCCCCCCTCTCGATCAAAGCAATTAGCGGGAAGGGAGAGAGACAATTACAGGGAAACATGACATCCGTCTTAAATCTACAGCGGAGAAAATGAAAAGATTTTTGGCTACCTTTCTTACACAAATCACCCTGGTACCCGGATTGACATCCTCCGTAGCAAGTTCCATTGATATGAAAGCACTCCCCTAAACACATTCCACAAACTTCCTCGCATCTTTCTCCAAACTTTTCAGGTTCACACACTAAGAACATAAAGGTGTTTTCAGGTTTTATGATAATAATTCAGTTGTCGTTACCGAAATAAAAAACAAATTTGCTTGGATGGCTTAGTAAATATATTCAGAAAAGTTAATTGTTAGTGTAAAAATTAACGTAATTACCAACAGTACTCTATTGTAATTTTAACAGACCTTCATTGCACATGATTCCAGTGAATCCAGCCCTACATCCCCCTGAACAGTTTCCGTATCTGTGGTCACAGCTCCCAAAACATTCTCCACATTCAGTGGTACAGTTGGCACCAAAGGTTCCCAGAGCACAGGCTGAAGGGAAAAATATTAAAAACAAAATTCAAAGGCAGAATTCTAATTTAATGAATCAACGCATACCATACAATCATGAAATGGGCGAGCCATTGACGCTTTCAGCTAGAGGAAATCACCAAAAAAAAAAAAAAAAAAAAAAATTGTGAAAATTCCACGTTATATTTTATCTTTTTTCTACTATTTTTCCAAATCTTTAAGTATTTTCTTTTTCTTAGAAGAAATATCTCTCATTTTTTTAAAAAGCTAAAATTTTAGATTCCATTTTTAAGATTTTTTACCTTGCCTTTCACAAAATTCACAATATATTTTAATTCCAAAACTTACGGAAATCACAATTTTCTCCAGTGTACCCAACATCGCACCACAAACAGTCACCAGTTTCTGTGTTACAATTCTGACAATGTGCTGGACAAGGAAGTGAACAATTTGATCCATAAAACCCTAGAACACATCCTGTTAAAGACCAATGTAAGCACAGAAAATTGGTCAAAACGTGCGTCCATAAGATCAATTGCAGTGAAAAAGAATACAATACTATAAGCATGAATTTTGAAAGTCTGTAAAATAATAAAAAAAAATTCTAGTTAACTATTCTTTTATACATTTGAGATATGTTTTCGTTATTTCATAAAAAGTATATTTGTTTACATAAAATACAGTCAAAATATTTTGAAACAAGATGTGTTTGTGAAACACTGATGCCCCCGTATGACAGCTTATGGCACAGGTTAAAGTTTCTCAAATGCAAGTATAAATCCAGGCCAAAAGATGAAAAATGTTAAATTTGAAATCCCTAGCTGCAAGTGTTCAAAAGTTTTGGCGAAGGTTAAAGTTTTTTAAAAGTAAGTAAAACATCAAGGTCAAGGTCAAAGTTGTTGGTGTCTAAAGGAAGGTCTTGTCACAAGGAATACATATGTGAAGTACGAAAGCCCTTGCTCTAACCATTCAAAAGTTATGGCCAAGGTTAAAATTTTTCCAAAGTAGGCCAAACTCTTAGGTCAAGGTCAAAGGGTCAAAGAGGTTGATATCCAGAGGAAGGTCTTGGCACACGGAATACACATGTGAAGTTTGAAACCCCAAGCGCCAACTGTTTAAAAGTTATGGCCAAGGTTAACGTTTTTCAAAAGTGGGTCAAACTCCAAGGTCAAGGTCAAAAAGTCGAAGTTGTTGGTATCCAAAGGAAGGCCTTGTCACAAAAAATACACATGTGAAGTTTGAAACCCCAAGCACCAACTGTTCAGAAGTTATGGCCAAGGTTAAAGTCTCATAAAATTTTTCAAAAGTGGGTCAAACTCCAAGGTCAAGGTCAAAAGGTCAAATATGATGGTACCAAAAGAAAGGTCTTGTCACAAGAAATACACATGTGAAATATGAAAGTCATAGCTCCAACCAATCAAAAGTTATGGGCAAGGTTAAAGTTGACAACAGAGAGACAGACAAACAGATAAACAACAAACAGACAAACAGACAGACAGGACAAAAACAATATACCCCCGGGATCTTTCGATCCGGGGGCATAAAAACAATCCATTCTTTCAATTAGCTATAGGAATTATGATTCTTACCATACACCTCCACTTCGCATAGTTCATTAAAGGCATATGTAGAATAACCGGGCGGATAATCTGTGTCAGAATTCCTTTCGTTGTAATAGATTACATACTGGCCGTACAATTCACATGTGATGTTAACTACAGCTGGTATTGTTGTCATATTGTATTCGGTGTCATGGAAACATAAACTACCATTATCCTTACTCTCAGTTTCGGATATATAGAGGGAGAATCCAAGAAACCTTGCAGCTAAAGAATTATTTTCATCTGAAATAATTCAGATTTAAAGTTTTCAACCCATAAAGCGAAGTTTATACAACCTTTTTAAAGGACAAAAGAAAGTTTATCGTCTTTTTCTCAAACATTCAAAAACTTTGATTTTCTTGTAGCAGTCATAAATTATGTAAAGTAAATTGACAAATTTTATGAAAATGAGTAAGGAGTTGATCCTTACGTCGCGGGTTCGAATCCCACTGTGGGACGTGGAGACCGGTCCTTCGGATGAGACGGTATAAACCGAGGTCCCGTGTCGCAGTAGGTGCTGGCACGAAAAAGATCCCTCACTGCTCAATGGCCCTAAGAGCAGAGTATAGGTCAAAAATCTGCAGCTCCCCATCGGCAAGTGGTGGCGTCTCCATATGAGTGAAAATTCTCGAGAGAGACGTTAAACAACAAACAAACAAACAAAACATCGACAAACATAACCAATTTGTTACATGGATGTGGATAAAGCAGTTTTATACATGCAAATACAATTGAGCTGTGAAAACGTATTACAGGTATACCCCAAAGCTTGCCATCTGTTCTGTAATATATAACTATATGGTGAACAAGCTTTCTTGAAAGTAGGTTGACTCGCCAAAAAGCTACCCTTTGGTTATTGGCAGAAATACTACATTGATGACCATTTGCAGAAAAGTCTGATTTTAAACCATCCACTGCCTTTTCAGGTCCAAAATTAGAAGGATGTGTTGTTTTCTGCCAGGTCGGATGTTTATATGCGATATTTTCTAAAAAATATACATATATAAAATTTTACATATAGATGTAATTTAATTCTCTAAAATAAAAGGTATTTATAAACGAACTGAGGAATTCTGCAAGAAAGACAAAAAAAAAATAAAACTCGTTGTTTCTCTAGAAAAAAAATCGGAAATTTACTTGAATTTAGATTTTATTTTTAATTCATTTTAAGCAAGTTTAAAAATACTGATTTCATTGAAAAAATAACAAGCAAAAGCATGACGGCATATTGAATTTAGGGAACAATAATCATAGTACTTTAGTTTGTTGTGGGCATCAACATTTTCCTGACAGATTATTCAACCAGATTGAAAGCAAAGGAACTGGTTGACATCAGTTATTATTAACGTCAGTGGTGCTACATGTAATGTCGATACAGAATGATGCTCGCCAATTTGAAAGAAACATTTCAAGGACAATTTGGCATTGGGGTATCAAAAATATACAAAAATAGGAAGAAACGATGCTTCTCCTTCAAGAGTGGTAGAAAAGGATCCCTTAAAAACTATCGGATCTTTTTTTTTTTTTTTTGCAACAGGGATATATTATGTATTCCCTCCTCCTCAAAGATAGAAATGTCCCTTCTAACTGTTCTAAACCGAATAAATATTCCCATTCAACAGAGGGTAATGGTAACCTTTATTTATTTGTAACTAATTATATACATATGGATATGATGTAACTATTCTCGCCGCGCTTAAAGGATTATACCTCCCCCCCCCCCCTTTAACACGGAATTTTTCCTTAATTGTTAAAAGCCAATTTTATATTCCAGCTTAAACCTGAATATAAATTATCTCCGTGATCCTTCTGAACAGTGAATAAGATATTAAGTAATCAATTGTTTGAGTCAAGCAAATACAAAATATTAATGTATATCTTAGAAAGATGTCATCAAAGCATAATAATACTTTTTTGCTATCAAAATTGAAGACTCATTTTGTCACACGTTTATATTATACAATTATTGACTTTTGATGAGGTCTACTCGTGACTATACGGACCTGGTCAGGTATTGGTAGACCTAGGCCGAAGGCCGAGGTTAACCAATTCCCGATCAGGTCCGTATAGTCACGAGCAGACCGAATTTAAAAGTCAATACACTTTAACCGTTTTATTAAATGATCAGGAATTTTACAATATTTATGACACTTTAGTTCTTGTCACCAACAAATATAAACACTCATAATATAATGCGTAGTGTACCAACACATAATTATCATTGTAGTTATATTTCAACAGCTTAACAAATGTTTAAAAGATGAAAACAATATTATTAAACAATAATTATTGAACTTTTTACTAAGAAATGAGTTTAGTCTCTTCGAGTATTAGCATCTGCCATGTTTACATTAACAACAACTCATACTATGGTTGGTGAACGGGTAAAACCCGAATAAAACTCCCGGAACTTCATTTTGAGGTGAACTCACCCTGAGGTACACCTCAGAAAAAGGTGTCTAGACCAATTAAAGAGCATCAAAATTCCTGCTCATTTGATGATTTGCAAGATTATATAAAACAGATGCTGTTTTGACCAAAATTAAAGAGATGGAACGTTTTACTATCCTCAGATTGCATGAAGTCTTACGTATTTCGCAGCTTTTCCCGCGGAATCCTGGCTCACATTGAATACATTCACCTGTTTCTATGTCACATTGCAGGCAATTTTGTAAACAAGGAAGAAAACAATCTTTACCATAATAACCTTCCAAAGGGCATCCTATCAAAATAGGAAGTTTTAAAATTAACTAAGACAAAAAAAGATCTGATTAATCAGGTAGGCATCTAATTCGAAACACTAATTTAAAGAAAACAGTTATGCTGAATTGTTGTTATATTAGAATTATCATCAATATCATGATGATAAATTTGAAGTCGAAAAATTAATACAATTTAGTCATTAATTTACCGTAAACTTCAACTTCACACAACTCATTAAAAGCAGTTTCAGAATAGTCCTGAGGATATTCTTTCGTGAGAAGTCTTTCATTATGATATATAACATATTGTCCGTGAACGGTACAAGTAATATTGACGACATCTGCGATTGTTGTGATGTTGTATTCGTTATCATGGAAACACAATGTTCCATCTTCCTTGTTTCGTGTATTTGACACAAAAACCGAGAAGCCCAGAAACCGTGTCGTAAAGTGATTGTCACTATCTGGAATAAATATTTGTCAGTCAATCTATAACATTGTTAATTGATGAGCATAAATTGCTTCCAATTCTAGATCAGACCTATATAAATTTTCATATATTAACATTCAAATTTCAAATTATTTCCTTAATTAATGTTTAATAGGCTCACTAATCCTTCAAAGAGGAAAACAAACATATATCAAAATGTGTAAAATTTTAAAAATAGTAATTATTCCTTAATGACAAATAATTAAAAGTTTCTTAATTTTTTTTTTACAAAACGATCTTACCCCAAGGGACGTTATCGGTTCTGTAATAAATAATAATATGGTGGATACTAAGGATGTCTTGAAGGTCAACCCACCAGGTGGCTGTGGTTTGACCAGTGGTGGATATGGAGCACTGGTGTCCAAACCAAGAACGGTTGAATTTAAGTCCATCAACAGCCTTTTCTGGTCCAAGTCCAGAATGATTCAAATATGTTGTAGCTTGCCATGTAGGTTTAAGAAGTGCTATATTTTCTAAAGTAATACAACAAAGGAGTCCACTACTTGGACACTTATTACGAAAACCCATAAAAATCGAGAATATTATTTTTCCTTTAAGCCACATAAAAGTCAAACCCTAAGGTATATATAAAAGAAAATTATTTACCATAAGAACAAGACTTTCTTGGAAAAGCCAGAGCTATAATCATACTCAGAATCATTTTGATCCAAGAACATCTCATTAATGTGGATATAAATAAATTCACTTCCTGTTTAGCAACGCATGCTTAATTTGATTGGCATATATTATATTTGGTTTGATTTGATCAATTGGGAAGTATATAACCAAAACGAAAGCTGATACAAAATGAAGATAAATGATAAACTATCAATTGGAACCATAAACCAAGTTGCTACTTTAGAAGAGGAAGATACGATGTAACAGAAAAAGGCTACAATTTACTTTATAGAATATAACTATATTCATTTTGATCAAGGATAGCTTTTACTATGTGTATGTTTCCTTTATGTACCTATGCATCATCTTACACCATTTATCAATGGGAAAATAACTTATTTTTTTTCAAATACTTTAGATAAGCTACAAAACGGAGGCGTGGTCTAACTAATATGTAATGACCATACAAAACCGACTATTCTAGAAAATACATGTACAACAAAATGAAATAATGTGCGATTTTAAACTAAAGGAGAGCATTAAACCACATGAAAACTTACATACTTAATATGTTTTTTATCGTTAGTTAAAACCCACATAGCAACGTATATACAAGTCACTGATCGCAAAGAATTTGTCGTAGTAACGTCATTCCGTAAAACTTGACGAAGTTTGTATACAATGAGAAGCGAATCAAGAAAATATTTTCACAATAAAAATGTATTTTGTAATTAAATAAAACATAGTTTTCAGATATTTAACAGGTAATTAACTTGAATGTGGTGTCTTTTTTTTTTTAAATGTTTTACCCATACATTTTCCGTAAATTTCCTATTTTACCGATACTGTATATTTGTATGCAGAAACACTGGAGGGTAATATAAGGGTCCCAATAAATCGATCTAGTGCAAGAGCATACAATCAATGGATCATAGTAAGCTTTTACGCATAAACACTAGAAACATTAAAGTAATTGAAAATCGCTGCGATCCTGGTGAAATCTTGAAAATGAATTAAACATTTGTATATCAAATACAGTAGACCAGCAAAAAAAATAATAATAATTAAATAGTAGAATCTATACATATAGGATATAGGACACAGCTACAATGGGTGTTGAAAAAATATATATACTAAACTTAAAATTTGAACTTGGAAATATCCTTGCAATATTGAAATTCATAGGTTACCTCAATACTGCAAGTATATTTGCTAAAATCACGTGACTGCCACATCATGTATCAAGTCTAAATAGAAAATCGTATCGTCGTAAATGTGTGGTTACTAACCATATTTCATTTTTCTGATATTAGTAGAGTACTTAAAAAGAAGGGCCATCCTGAGTACGAATGTACTTTTTTATCCCAAAATATCGCCCTCTTAATATCTCATCAATTTTGATCATTGTCCGTTATCTTCACGTTTTACATCAACATGAAGGTATCCGTATGCGCTAAATAATAATTTCATATGCAAAATGAATCAATAAGGGACAATAAAAAAAAACTTAACATATACATGTATTCCAAAGTTAATTTCTTAGGAATAAGACTGGTCTGCAATACACGTTTGATACACAGTATACACCTCGATGTTCTACTGAGAATTTTTCGTACATGTGTCTTCAATTTGATTTGATGTGCTACGTTTTGATAACCAGAATGAGATACAGTGATAGATCATCAGTATGCCAACTTCTTTTGTGACTATTGGACTAATACCATAAAAGGCAGTGAGCAACAAGACTCACATTAGTTATCACCACGGTACTGTGATTTCCAAGAAATTTTATAACATTTCTCCCTTCAATGATGATTTCACGGATTGTCGAAACCTTTTTTTTTAATTAGACACAATATTATATAATTTATAGTTTACGTGACAATTGTTCACAGAGATACCGTCGGTCATATGCAAAGTGCAAAACTGAAAAATAATTGGCTGCAGTTTTAAACAACTCGCCCAAAGACCCATATAACCATTGTGTGCTATATTTGCAAGATTGGACAAGGTGTTTAAATTCTTTAGCATGTGCTGCACATTTGTTAAGTAATCATTTTCGATTAAATGGATTGCCAATAGAATCGAGAAGTACATATTCGTTTTAAATATTAATGTATCCAATATGTTGACATATATTCAATTAAAACATATTAAACTTTAATGCAATGATGATAATAAGTCTGGTACTAATTTTCTTTTAATGACACGCCATATACAATGTTATGATGCAGATAAATTAAAGGATTGTTCATCATATTATCGGTTACATGTGTATTTGAAAAAAAAAAAATATTTTTTGGCATAAGAATAAATGAATAAAAAAAAACGTGATTTAAAAAGTCAGATACTTAATGACAAAGGATCATTGTAAGGAAGTGTCAAAAACATAGAAGTAGTTTCAAACATTCAGTGTTTTCGTTAAAGAGCGGAAGATCAATATTTATATTTCTTTACATATTGTAATAATCACTATTCGTGTTATTAAGGAATTGCAGTTCGGTGTAACTTCCTCCATTATTTTGTTCCTCGACATCCAGACTGACTGATCCTGTTTGTACTCCTGCTGACATAAAATCACGTCTGGAACCACAAGAGTGTGCCTTCTGTCGTTTTCTTTTCAGACCTGAATCGTACCTTTTAAAGATAACTAAAGGTCAAACAGAATGAAAGTCTACATGGAAAGTCATTGAGAGTTTTTATTTTATAAAAAAAAATGTGCTCAGATATTTAAGATCCTTTGAGTACTTTGAGTATTTATTGAATTAAATCATGTTGTTCTATCAGAAGAAAATAAAATGGACAAAGCTGAAATGGTGTGGTCTTATGTGGTGTTTGTTACTAATTATAATTAATTATAAAATATTATTTATTTGATGACCGTTTACGGTAACTCAGTAGGTAGAGCGCTCGCTCCGTGATCGGGAGGTCGTGAGTTCGAATCTCGGCTGCAAATCACACAAGTCGATAAAAATGGTAGCAACTGTTCCTTCGCCATGCGCTCTGCACTTTGAAGTGAAAGTTGCAGGTCCTTCGGATGAGACCTTAAAAACCGTGGCCCCGTGTCACGGCAAGCGTTGACACGATAAAAATTCCTCACTGCTCAATGACCCTGAGTGTCGGGTAAAGGTCTAAATTTGAAGCCCTACACCAGTATATGGTGACTTCTCTATAATATGGGTGAAAAATTCTCGAATGGGAAGTAAAACAACATACAATCAATCAATAATTGATAATCCTCAACATTTTACCTGCTTATGCAGTAGGCAAACACAAGACATATGTTGATTGACAGGCTAACTGACAATACCGCAACTGTTTCCATTGATCCAAGAATTCTGCTCACTTTATGATAGCTAACTAAATTTTGCAATAGTGAAATTAAGAAAGATTACAAACCAATTAAATGCATTTTATGAATAAAGATTTTTTTTGTATCTGAAAAGAAATATAATTAATACGTGGGCAATAAGAATAGATATGTATGTAAAAAATTACACTCAAGACAATCCAGGCCTTCCCATCCAAGTTTACAGCCATCCATGCAATGTCCACTGATTCTACTGCAGTTTCGGGACGTTGAGCAAAACATACTGCACTCCTGTTGACAATTGACTCCAAAATATCCAAAATCACACTCTGTAACAGTATAAAAACTGATAACCTTAAAATACGTATATTTTTCTTTCTTAACTTAAACGATCGGACATCTTCTAGACTAATAAATCTTATCTGTTTACATCCACTGATCAGTTAGTTATTTACAGTGAATTTTTTTTCTCCAAGCCATGTGTATGAAAGATATCTTCAAGAAGTAGGCTTTTTATCGATGTAAAATATAGATTAATAATACAATAGTTTACGTACTCTCATCCACTCAATACTAATAACTTGTTCAGATTTAAATATAAACAAAGAAAAGCTTTCTTTGTTAATACAGGAATTAAAGACTGCAACCAATGCAGAAAAATGTGCATAGCCGGCTTATGAGGATAACGTATTTTTCTGCAATGCGCAAACCATCCATAATCCATGTATTAATAGACAAAGTTTAAATATCGATTCATCAATTCATCAGTCCTTCCTTCCAACTATATAACTAAATATATATCTACCGTCATGACATGTTTTCCCATTGTATCCTGCCTCACACACTCCAGCACAACTTCCGTCAACATTGCTACACGCTCCAGTGCATCTTCCACAATATCCACTGCAATTTACACCATATGTTCCTAAAGCACACTCTAAAAATATCAAAATAGAGTGTATGATTTCAGTTAAGATAAGTTTCAATGAAATTTTTTATTCTAAGAAAAGTTCAAGTATTTTTGTTATTCAACACAATAAAAAACCTTTTGTGTAAATGAACACATTAAATTGATGATAAAAATGAACCAGGTCTAAATTCTAGTAAAATTTTCTATGGTCGAATAATTAAAATGAAGAAGGCCACACCAGCCAATAAACAGAATGCATTTAAGCAAACCCAAATTGATTACAATATAATATCCCATTCTTGAAACAGCATGATGTATGCGAGGTATATTGAAAGGTTAGACGACAGATTTTCCAATTATGTGAAATTTAACGAAGTCTTTGTAAGTGAAGTTTGTCTACATAAAAAGTTTCTTCAAGAAAAAGTGAAGTATATTTCCAGGCATTTGTGCGAGATTCCAAAGAATGGTATTTCCTTTATATTCATCAAACTTGAAATAACCTGATTTGTGGATATTTTTATTTTAGTGTACATGTAATGTTTTGAGACATATTTGAACCAGTTTAGAAGATAGCAAAGATTATATGCATATTTGTTGTATTTCAAAGAGACCCCAGCCCATCAAAAAAGAAAGAAATTCGAGGGACATACCGTCAGACCTTATTAACTGTTTAAAATGTACCTTTGTTACACTTAATTCCTAAGTAACCTGCAAAACACCCATTTGTACAGTGTCCATTTACATGACTGCAGTTTCCGAAACATTCTCCACATTGGCTAGTACAGTTTGGTCCATATGTTCCTGATGCACATTCTATATAAAAGATTAAAAGATTATTTATTTATCTACTATGCAGATGTGTTAAGGAAGCATTCAAATTAATTCTCAGGAAATTTGGACTTTTGAAAGAAAATGAAGTTTTGATAATTTATCGAAGCCGCCGACAAAACGTAAACTATTCTTAACTATTGCATTAAGACATTACATTCTAAAACATTGATTTAGAATTCTGTGAGATCGGAATTCAGATATCTTGACTTACAATGGAGAGCTACATATAGACAGACAACTAGGGAGACAAAAAACTTTGATGGCGGAAGTAATTAAAAGAAGCAGATTAAGCAACCTTTATCGCACAAATCTCCCTGGTACCCGGTTTGGCATCCTCCAGAGCATATTCCGTTCATATGTATACACTCCCCTATACACATTCCACAACTTTGATTGCAATTATCTCCAAACTTTCCCAGTTCACAAACTAAAAATATATATATTTTTATGATAATAACTTAGTTAGTTTGTATGTTTATATGCTGTTTAACGTCCCTCTCGAGAATTTTTCACTCATATGGAGACGCCACCACTTGCCGGTGGAGATGTGCAAATTTTGTCCTTTACTCGGCACTTACGGCCATTGAGCAGTGAGGAATCTTTTTCGTGCCAGCAACTACTGCGACACGGGACCTCTCATCCGAAGGACCGATCTCCACGTCCCACAGTGGGATTCGAACCCGCGACGTAAGGATCATCTCCTTACTTCGCGACTCTAGAGCAGTGATAATAACTTAGTTATCGTTATTTAATTCTTTATAAACAAAACAATTGCTTACACTGTTTCTTGGCAATATTCAAAGAAGTCTCAAAGGTCTCAATATTTTAGAAGCCTTAAAATCTTATTATCTGTAGGCTATCGACATATAGTATCATTAGAAAAGACTCAGTTTATATACTCATAACCAATAGTATATTATTGTCATAAGAAATTTTAAAATTATACTGACCTTCATTGCACATGATTCCCATATATCCCGGTTTACATCCTTCAGAACAATTCCCGTTTTTATTGTCACAGTAACCGGCACATTTTCCACATTTATTGGTGCAGTTAACACCAAAGGTTCCCCGAGCACAAGCTAGAGGGGACAAAATAGTGATAAAAAATTATTTTAGGAGAAATGCACCACCCTTATTTAATGGATCTTTAAAACCTCTGTAAGGGAACATTATTTTAGCCTTGAAAAACCAATATAAGCATTTGAATTTTTTTATATTATTTTATTTTCTATTTTTACAAAAAAATAAATAAAAAAATGTAGAAATCCTTTAACATTGAAATCTGGCTTATTCTACTCCAGTGCAAGTATATTCACTTTGAATTCGACCCTTATTAAAAACTCCAATATAATTTTGCTGTTTTCATTGTTTGTATCCCTGCAATCTGACATTTTTTTAATATAGATGGCTTTAAGAAAAACCTGTTCTTAACAGATTCAGAACAGCTAGAAAGCTTTAGGTAAGTGATTCTCAAAAGAAATAACTAGAAAATAATAAGTGGATGTAAGATATTTGTACTCAAATTCAAAGACAGCATTCTAAGTACACCAGTGAAATATACATTTTCATTATATTTCATCTCAGCCCAACAGTAAACCTCACATTTCATTCTATCTTTATTTTCAAAATTTAGGAATGTTCTCTCAATTTCAAACATTCCTTTAATTTTTTTTTTCTTTTATATGAGAATTGTCTTTTATTTTTCAAAATATAAAATTTTTTCTCATCACTTTTTAAGAATAAGATTGTATTAGGAATTAAAGTACTGTAAGCCTATTTTTTCCGCAGGGTCATAATTCAGCAGAATCACAGCAGAATTACCTGGATTTCCTAGATTGTCATCATTTGTTCCAATGAATCTTAAGTACGCTGTGACAAATTTCCGCGGAAAAAATGTGACTACGTAGCAAAATTTAATCTAAGACGGAAAAAGTGCATCACGTATCCTTTACAAAATTTACTAATTTCTTAATTTGGAAAACTTACGGAAGTCACAATTTTCTCCTGTGTATCCAACATCGCACCATAAACAGGCACCTGTTTCTGTGTTACAATGCTGACAATGTGTTGGACAAGGAAGTGAACAATTTCCTCCATAAAATCCTAGAGCACATCCTGTAAATTACAGATTAGTGTGCACAATAAATATGTCGATATGCTGGGCAAAGAAGTAAACATTTTTATCAGTTAAATCCTAGTTTACATCCTCAAAAATTTGAAATTAATGTGCACAATACATTTATCAAATGTGTATGTTTATAGGTACTGGAATTGAATCAGAATTGGATCTGATAATAGTGAATTTTTGGAAGCTTTAAAAATATGTATCTAACTGAAGGAATAGATATTTCCATTAAACACTACAAATATGTTTATTTTAGAATTTTGTTATATGTAAAATGAAAAGGCATTTAAATTATGGAAAATAGTTTGATCATTATACCCGTATCACCTGCATATCACGTCTATGTCTCTTATTTGATTCGATAGTCAAGAGCATGTTCTACGTACGAACAATTTCAAAAACGATGCAAACTATTGACAAACAAGTTGATGAAACAAACATAGCAACAGTCTCGTTCTAAAGTAATCATTTTGCAAGTTCTATAGTCGACAAAATGACTTTGTCAGTAAATGCAATCTATCACTAAGTCAAATGCTGCCTGACGTTTTGTCATACTAATTCTTAGGGCATTATTTAAACATGTAATTGTCCGCAGATTTTTTTTTTTTTTTTGTTTTTCCGGATCATAGCAAGGAGCAAACAGCGGATGTGACCGGTCGGCACGGGATGCTCACTCCTCTATGGCACCTGATCCCACCTCTGATGTTTTAGAGGTCTGTGTTTGCTCTGCTTCAGATCTGTATTTTTTGAATGGACTTTTGAACTTGAAAACTGTTCGTTATCTCCATATTTCATCAATTATATAAATCTGTTCACCATAGAAATACTCATTCTTACCATAAACTTCTACTTCACATAATTCATTGAAAGCATATGTAGAATAACCAGACGGGTAAACTTTGTTGGTCTTCCTTTCGTTGTAATAGATGACATACTGGCCGTATAACTCACACGTGATATTTACTACAGCTGGTATTGTTGTCATGTTATATTCGGTTTCATGGAAACATAAACTGCCATCATCTTTATTTTCAGTGTCTGATACATAGACAGAGACTCCAAGAAATCTCCCAGCTAACGCATTATTTTCACCTAAAATAGCACGGAATTAATGCTTTCACTTTTATCAAAGATGTACATGCATTTGCCTTTGGTCTCTGGGGACAATTGTACTGAGTTGATTGTTTTAACTTGCGTTTGTTCGAATAATCAATATAGAGGTTTTAAATTTCTAGTACCAAATAGAAAATTTTATGATACCAAACCATTAATTTGAAAAAAATTCAAACTAATTATGAGTTAGATCGTCACAAAGATTATTTAAATTCGGCAAATATAACAAAAATGTATCTTTAGAATGAGAAAAACAAGTAAGCTTGATAATTAATGCATTCAAAATAAGTCGATTATTGAAAATGTATTGTTGGTATACCCCAAGCAATATTTTCTGTTCTGTAGTGAATTAAAATGTGATGAATAAACTTTCTTCCAAGTAGGTTGATTCGCCAAGAAGCTTCCCTTTGGTCATTCGCAGAAATACTACATTGATTACCATCTGCAGATAAGTCTGATTTTAAACCATCAACTGCTTTTTCAGGTCCAAAATTAGAAGAGTGTGTTGTTCTTTGCCAAGTCGGATGTTTAAAAGCATAGTTCACTGAAAACAAATTTAAAACTTAAAGTACAAATTATATATATATATATATATATATATATATATGTATATATATATATATATATATATATATATATATATATATATATATATATATATATATATATATATATATATATATATATATATATCACTATTGTAATGATGTTCCCCTGTCTGTCCCTGACATTTTCCTGTCTCCCCCTGACTTTCTCCTATGATTCCCTGACGTTGTCCCTGACTACCCTGTCTACTCCCTGACGTCCCCTGACTTTGCCCCTGTTACCACTGTCTAACCCCTGATGTCCCCTGACATTCCCTGACGTCCCTGTCAACTCCCTGATGTCCCCTGACTAAGCCCCTGACTACCCTGTCAATTTCCTGTCATCCCCTGACATTCATTTTGACCCAGAAAAGGGTTAAAATATGTTTTTGTTGCTATTTACAAGTGAGAAATACGTTACTCTTGGCAATTTTTTGTGAAAATATATATTTAGTCAATTGTTATTTGTTTGAATATCTTGAGTAATTTATTTCTTAAATATGTTTTAGTTTAGTACATGTACCTTTTAGATAAATTTTAAGGAGAATAAATGCCAGATACTTTGAAAAGAATGAAGAACAATTTTATTGCATCTTGTCATGAATGGCAAGTAAATATATCTATATTTATTTATATGTTAATCTATATATCCACATGTATTTATTTATTTATTTGTTTTATTTATTATTGACTAATTTAGTAATTAAATTTATTCATATATTTCTTTTAAGATATATTATCCTTATTGAATTATAAATTAATTGATTGACATTATATATTTATTTACTTTTTTAATTCCTTTTATTTCAATTAATTAATTAATTCTATTTTATTCAATTTATTTGTGAGTTTCGCATAAACAGTCGTAAGGTACACAAAATATGCTTCAAAGTATCTTTTAAGCATATTTACATTTCTTTTGATTCTTTTAATTTCATGATGGGTATCAAAATAATTGTCTTATTAAGCACAATCTGAATTCGGAATTTGTTTTATTGCTTCTTTGACTTTGGTAAAAAATTAAAAAATATATTACTCAGAAACTGTCACGGTTGTGAGAGTAGTTCCGAGCTGTTGATAGTTGACAAGTGACTCTGGGTACACAGACCAGACACCTATTGTTCTTTTGACTAACCACTATACACTGTTTATTCTGTGGTAGCACGACAATATCCCCTCTGCAGGTGTTATTTCTTTCACAACCGTGACAAGTTTTTGAGGATTTTTTTTTTTTTTTTTTTTTTTTTTTTTTACCAAAATAAAAGGAAACAATAAAACAAATTCCAGATTCCGACTATGTGTACTGAGACGATGATTTTGATACCCATCATGAAATTAAAAGAATTAAAAGTGATTTGAATATGCTTAAAAAATAGTTTGAAGCACTTTTGTTTTACCCGGAGACTGTATATGAAGAACTACACAAAATGAATTAAATCTAATTAATCAATAAATTAAAATAATTGAATTGAATAAAATAAAATAAATAAATAAAAATTTGAAATAAATCCATTTGTTTATTGATAATTAAATAAAACAAATACGTAAAAATAAATCCGATAGATAGATTGAATAAAAAAAAATAAATATATAATTGAAAAAAAAAAAGAATAGATGAATAAGCAGACAAATAAATAAATAAACAGATATATGAATTAATAAAATCAATAAACAAATAAATAATCAGATAAATAAATAAATATATTTACATGCCATTCGTGAAACACAAGAGGCAATAAATTAGTAATTTATTATCTTTTTTTTAAAGTAACGGCATTTAACCTTATTAAGATTTATCTGAAAAGCTAGTAACAATCAATAAAATAAGATTTTGAAAGAAATCGCTAAAGATATTTCAAACAGAAAACTAATGATTAAATCTACATTTTCACAAAACTTGAAAATTGCTAGGAGTAAGGTATAGATTTTCTTACAAGTAAATAGCAACAAAAAAATATTTTAACCCTTTTTCCTGGTCAAAATGAATGTCAGGGAACGACAGGGTGTTGGTAGGGTGGGCAGGGACTTAGTCAGGGGACATCAGGGAGTTGACAGGGACGTCAGAGAATGTCAGGGGTTAAACATTGGTAACAGGGGCAAAGTCAGGGGACGTCAGGGAGTAGACAGGGTAGTCAGGGACAACGACAGGGGATCATAGGAGAAAGTCAGGGGGAGACAGGAAAATGTCAGGGACAGACAGGGGAAAGTCAGGGGATTTGTTGGAATCTAAGGGGAAAATCATTACAGTAGTGTATATATATATATATATATATATATATATATATATATATATATATATATATATATATATATATATATATATATATATATATATATATATATATATATATATATATATACACACACGTATATTTCAATGCTTTGTTGACACTTATATCTAAATACCACTCCTAAAACGGAAAAAAAAAATCATTCAAATCATTTGCTCTTATTTCCCTACAAGAATGTATATTTAAAACCTCCCTGTAAACTTCCTCTTTTTCAGAATTTAATATTTTTCATCCTCTCTTCTTACGTATAATGAACAATACTTTATTTATCATCACACTCCGTAATTTCAGCAAAAGTCTATTGTTGAATTTTTATATTTTGCTTTGAAAATAAAAATACCCAGACGATTTTGCTTATACACTGAAGTCAGTGTTTCACATGGCCCAAAAGTAAAGACTTCCTCTATGGTAGTTTATACACAAGAAAACCAAGTCGGCAGATTATTCAATTATTCCATTGCATCAGTAATTCACAAAATCAAGTATAACATTAAAGCTTTCTTTTTCCTTCTGCATCAAAATTATTGCGTCAGCGACCAGCTGCATTGACTTTGATTCGATGCTTTTATCATAATCAAATGTTTGATGAAAAGAAAAGGAGAAAGAAGAAGCCATTCCTAACAGATATACCAGAGATTACCTTATTTTACCAGAAAAACAAATGCATGTTACCATGTAAAATAAATAAATAAACTTTTTGCATCCGAAGCTACGTAAGTATTTTTATCCAATGAATCGTCGTATAAAACATGGAAAATCCAACGCGTTATGTAATATTATTTTTTTTTTCCTTTAAAACAAAAAATGAACATAGAGTAATGAGTTTCCTTCGCGTCACTGAAAAAAATAAATAAATCAATTTATCCCAATTAAAGTCAGAAAAATAAATATTCCTTACCATAATCACATGAGACGCTTAGAACTAGTAACGATGAAAGAAAGCAGATATGTCTAGACATGAATAACATTTCTCGAGGTCGTTTAATACAGCAATTTCCAAGTGTTTACCATAAAATTATCATAGAGTATTTTTAAGATAACTGAATTCCCAATGTCGCTTGCAATCTCCTTTTCAATTTTGTTAAGTCAGGCTTACGTTTGTTTATTGAAAATCAAAAATTTCCTTGATAACGATGTTGATAATATACCTTGAACTTGATCAACTTGACAATTTCCTGAACTCTCACTTATACTCTTAAATCAAGGCCTTATATACGGAAGCGTAAATGCCTCTTCACTTGTTGTGTTATATTTTTGTACATTGTCTTCCTTTTTATTGTCTTCTCGACATTTAATCTGTAATGACTTTTTATTTTCATTCATATGTTGTTTTGTATCTGGGTATTTTCACAAAATTTAAAGCGTCTTTTCTGTGTAATCGATTTTATTGCTTAAAATTATATCGACTTAAAAAAGTATCGATACGGAAAATATTGATTTAAGCATGAAAATTAAAGATATCGATGTAGTTAGCTCGACACACACAATAAAAATGTATACATAAGAGTTGAAATGATATTAATATGCAAGTATTTCTAGGGGAAAAGTCTGAAAATGTTCTCCAACTCATAGGTGTCGGAAGCAAATTGAAAGCGGGGTGGCTAATTGAAAGGGGGGGGGCTAAACCAATGAAAAAAGGTAAGCCCCAATTTAAAATGCCTATATTATGTCTATCTTTGCAAAAAAAAGTGGGGGGGGGCTAAGCCCCCCTAGCCGCCCCCCCCCCCCGGTTTCGACGCCTATTCAACTTACTTAGCGGGCGCAGGAATTTAATGAAACGTCACATCTCTCAGATTTATTGACGGCACATGCACAATGTCACGGTGTCATGTGTTAAATGTTA